TTCACCACTTAAACCTTCTTTATTCTTTCTCTCACTCTCAATCTCGAAATTTCCTCCAAGAATACTCATATTCCATCCAAGAACAATCTATTATACTCAAATCTTCATCCCTCTTGAAGCATTCATCAAGGTATGTTGTTAAAAGTTTCAATATTCATACAAGAAACAAATTAAATCCACCAAAATATCTAAAACTCATTTTTATGCATAAACTTGATTTTTCTCAGAATCCCATCAATAAAATAAGAAGTTCTGGAAATTTTCAGAAAATAATTTATTTTATTGAATTACTATAATTATTGCAATAAAGTAGGGCAATAATTCACATAAAATACTTTTGCATTCAATAAATTCTGAGAAAATTCTGGGATGACCTGTATACTGATTAAACATGATATATGAAGTTTCATGCATTTATATTACTTTTTACTATTATTTATGATTTTATTGATTAATTAATAATGAAATATATAAAAAATACTTCCCATAGTCACAAATATCTGAAACTTATACACTGAGCTCTACATCATGTTATAAAACTATGGTTAATTTTACAGATTTTTTGAGAATCATTTACTATTTTTCCCGAATTTTTGTTGTTTAATCATTAAAATATTAAATAAATACTAAAACAGTTCAGAAAAATATACAAATTTTACAGTAATTCATATTGTATGTATGAAATAATGATTTCCTAATAATTTCATAATTTTTCAATACTGTTTACTATTTAAAACTATTTTCCTAAGTATTTAAGCATGTAAAAATGCATTTTAATGATTATTTCATATAAATAATTGTTAAAATCTGTAAATAATTATAATTGGGCAAGTTATTATTTTAATAAGAAATTATTAAAATCTGGCCTAAATTGAATATAATTATTATGCAAAGTAAGTAATTCAATTTAAAATTCATTTAACAAATAAATACCTTAATATTATAATCAAAATGAATTATTGTTAATTCATCTAATATAAGAATATGTGTCTAATTATTGTATTAATACTCCATTCTCGTTTAGCAGTTCCTAAACCAAAAAATTAATTATATTAGGTTCTACGCCATTTTGACCCGAATCGTCTATCGTACGACACACGCATTTCGTTTTGGGACTAATGTGAGTAATCTACCCCATATTTTTAATTTTCAATACTTTTGGGGTGTATCATGTGGTTCTAATATGTTCCAACTTCATTATTGTTTTATCACAATTGAGACATTGTTGGGACATTTATACGTGACTCATTAATTGTATAACTATTGTTTGTTTACGCTACATGTACTTGTAGTGCATTATCATTTTAGTCTAATCTCCATGACTATGCCCGTATTCTTGAGGTACGTTATGGACAATAATAGCGCTATTGGGTTGACCACCCCGCCTTGGGACGCTAAGGTGATTGATCGCACGTGGTTGAGTGTGTATGATGATTAGATGCTCCATCCTATATATATTTATATATTATATATACATATGTATATATAGGGTGAGGACTTATTGTTGTTGTTATCATTTGTTAATCATTTTTGATTTATAAACCGTTATCTCAAATACAATTGTTTGCCGACTTCAAAAGAAAACAAATTTCCAATTATAAAGGTTTCAACTTCACAATTTTCTCTACTAAAATTAGATTATTCACCAACTCTCGTAGTTGACCTGTTTTTACCCATGATGCAGATTTGAAGAATGAAGTTGATGAAAAATAGGTTGTGCCTTAGAAATCCACAAGACTATTTAAATTTGATGTAATAAATGTTGTTCATATTTGGATTTGTATTTGTTGTGGATCTTGTTTGCATACTTAGTACTTAATTGAATCTAATCATATTATAACATAGTTGTCATGAGACTTTGAACAATATATCACGCCTCGATCGATTCCGACAAGGATCGGGGTGTGATAGATTGGTATCAGAGCCCTTGACTATAGGGAATTAGGTTAATTGCCTTGACCTAGTCTATAGCCTCTAGGGTCCTCTCGTATGCTAGTTTATAAAATGCACACACAACTGCATGCAATTCGCACTTAGAAAATCCTAGGAATACCTTTGTGTGTTAATTGCTCCCTTATGTGCATACGTATTACTCCTGACACTTATATGTGTGCATACACTTGTGAATATTCTCCACTTTCTTGAAAATCACACACATACCAAGTTGTTAACAAAATGTATATACATATATGTATTCCTTAGAGCTCATAGGAAATTCAAAGTCATCCACTCTAGTTGGGTAGGATCATAGTAATGGACGCGTAGTAACTGGAAGGGGGAGGTGCCGGTAGCCCGAAAGTCCTGACTAGGTAAGCATTCGTATACATCCCAATCAACCGAGGGACCAGTTTGCTTATCTGGGGACCAAAGGCGAGAGTTCCCAAACCTATAGGCCAAAGCGCGTCATTCACATTACTTTTGAGCCATCAAATATCCGACCTTATCAAACGTATCCGAAAGGATACACTCCAAAATGGCCAACTCATGGGACTATTAAGTTCCCTAATGGGCCTAGAAGTGGGAAAGAAATGTGAAAACTTAGTTTTGTGGGGGCCCACGCAAGTGCTACATGTTTCACATTTAGTAACCATGGAAAGCCCAAAAGGTGCCCAACACTCCTAACCATGGCCCAACAATGTTTTACAATTATTTTACCCAACAATGTCTAAAAAAAAAAACTTTATTTCCCTAATCAATTTACAAATAACTCACAAGTCCATATGCGTGTTTCTCATAGTTGACATGTTCCTTGTTTGGTTGTGGACTTAGGGTAGACTCATTAGGATCAACCAGTCTAATAAAATTTTAATTACACATAACTGGGGGCATGTCGAGTGAATCTTAGGAGTGGATCAGACATGGAACAAATCACAAGATTATAATCAAGTTATTCCTACTAAATTCATAAGTCTATTTATATAGACCTCTGGTATAGAGTCGTCAGCGTAGTCGTGTCGGCAATCTAGAATATAGCTAAATACATAATACAAACTATAATACCCAAATTATACAAAATTTTCTGCATAAAAAATCAATAGACAAACACAATGAAACTAAAAAGGGTATCAATCTATCAAGAGAAAACACATACAATGTAGATTAAAATCCACTAATTATAACAAAATGGCTAAAAGAAAAGGTAAGACTAAGGATTGTTAAGTCCTCTCTTCTTATAAATAGCTTTGAAGCAAGCTTGCCTAAGCTTCTTTGTTCTTTCTGTCAATTCCATACCTGGCAATTTCTCCATCATCTTCTTGTGCCCTGTTAACGTCTCTACCTCCTCCTTTAATCCCAACTCCTAGTTTTTTTAGGTAGATGCAATATATTTTTCGTGTGAGTTCATAAAATTTACAATGAGTTAAGTTTATGTAAATATAAATCAGAAATCGTAGTAAAACAATTGATTCGATGTGACATATGCCTAGGGCCTATGTTTATGTTATAAAGAAACTAATAATTAAAATTTTAGAAAATACCAAAACTACTTTGGTTACCAAGTGCATGCATACATGCATGAGTAATGTATAGAAGGTTATTATCGTAGTTTACCTTGGCATTTTGAATGAGGGATTGAAGGCTCTTAAGTTTTCTATGAGGCCATCTGTTTATGTTTAGCTCTCTGCATCTTTTCTTCAACAATGTTAACCCTATCCCTAGTTCCTTTGCTGCCATGATTATCGGCATCTCAAAGTACTTCGCTATCTCTTCAAACTCCAATGGTCTCAATCTATTTGCCACCTTCCGGCCACCGTGATCAGTGGTCTCAATATATTGATTATCTCAATATATCACGCCTCGATCGATTCCGACAAGGATCGGGGTGTGACATTTTTGTCATGGTTGTGACCAAAGAAGGAGATTAAGATTAATACGATATGATATTTACTCTAAATGATTATAGATGTTATTAACTAAAAAGATATTCATAGTAGATTTTTAATTTAGTTATATTCAAGATTCGATAATCAATATATGACTTCAACAATAAAATTCAAACAAAAAAAAACTGAAAACGAACCGTTAAAAATCCCAAACCCGATAGATAAAACCCAAGTACAAACCAAAAAAAGACTTTCCAAAATAGGTGGTCAGACCGGATCGGTCTTGATAAAGACCGGAAAAAAAGGATCGCTTAGAATGCGTTTGGTTCCTTAAAATTTTTTCTAATTTTTCATGAAAATTTTCAAAAGAAAATGAAAATTTCGAAATGTTTTGTTGATTCAATTTTAAATTTTTTTCCAAGAAAACGAAAATTTTATGTTTTTCAAATTGTATGTAAATTAAAAAAGTGATTTTTAAAGTTTTCTAAATTTCTAAGATGGAAAATGAAAACTACACACATCCCAACCAAACGCGTTTTCTAAAAATTTATTTGAAAACTGAAAATCAAAACTCTATTTTCTGAAAACATTATCTTAAAAAATGAAAACAGTTTTCCACAACCAAATGCATCTTAGAGACCGATTTTGTGCACATCTAGGGTAGACGAATATGTTCAATCTGATCTACTACGGAGTATGGATCCAAAGCTTCCCCTCTTATCCGATATTTGATAAGCTCGATATATATATATATATATATATATATATATATATATATATATATATATATCTATTATTATTATATATTCTCCTTTTGCCATGTGTCATCCTATTAAGTCCTCTAATGCCACTTGTCAACCTATTGATTCTGTATTTCAAATTTTAAATTTCATAATTTTTTTTCTAATTACATTAAATTAATGACATTAGAATAAACATTAAAATAACATTAATACAAATTATAAGACCACTTATTTATTTAAATCGACGATTATAATTTTATATAACTAAAAAATATCTCTTAATTAACAATTTAATTAAAATAATTGATTAATAATTTTGATTTTTTTACTATGAAAATTTAATTAGTTTTATAACCGTGGTTTCCACGGGTTATAAACTAGTATATATATATATACACACACACGACCTACCAACAATATATTTCATCAACCACTCTCAACCCCAAAATTAAATGTAGTCATAAATTTATAATACCAAATACAACAGTTTAATTTACACAAAGGACATCAAAATACCCAAAAGTGTGCAAAGAATAAAAACAACTCAAATTTTTACTCTTACAAAAATACCCAAATTTTTACTCGTACAAAAAGTATATGAATCTAAATTTTACCAAGAAGAAGTTCTTTTAGGATAGCATCGCTGATCCCATCAGCATAAGGAAACATATGACCAGCACCCTTGAGCTCATGATACCTTATCCATGGAAGCTGTTGGGCAATATAACGTTGCAGTGTCACAGGCACAATCTTATCATCATCACCCATCCAAATATCAACGGATCCTTCATTGTTTGGAAACGGGTTCTCAATATCCATCGGGTCGAATTCCCAGGTACCAAATCCAATATTCAAGTCACGATGTATAGATTCATATTCCCCTTGCTGTCTTACTTGTCCCTTTTCAACACAAAAAAAAAAAGAGTAACATTAGATTCATATTCTCCTTCTTAAAATGGTCAAGTAATTAGATGTTTGGATGTGTGATTACTTAAATGAGTACCTCAATGGGTCCCCTGCCAGCTGTAAACTTTGGAATGAGTTCCATGTCTTGGTGAGAAAGAATATCAGGGCTGTGAGCGATAGCTTTGTAAGAAGGAAACAGTTTCTGAGTGTTCCACCAGTACGTCAATGATGGAAGGTGGTGAGCAACACGTACACTCCATTGATCCTGAATGAACTGCTTTGAATACGCTTCTTGAGATAGCTTCAATGGCAAACTTGGCCACCAGTAATTAACAACTGGAGCTATAAGACTGCTCCTGCTAACCTGTGAGGAATGTATTTCAAACAAGACCAGATCGCTTGACCTCCCATTGAAAAACCAACTACATAGAACTTTGATCCGAGTTCTAACTGATCACCAAGCTCCTCGATATCCAAAGCCGAACTCTTTAATGTTTGGTTAGGGTTTGGATCACTCTCTCCATAACCAGGTCGATCGAATGAGACAATATGTATCCCCAATTCTTCAATTAGGGCCTGTTAAAATCAACCAAGTAATCAAGAAACTGAATAACGAAACTAATAAATGAGGAACAAAACAGGATACCTACCGGGGAGGCTGATGTGGCAATAACAGCATAATACTTGATAGAATCGAATCCATGGACATAAATAATCTTGTATTTGGCGACCGCTTTTGGTACACCGTATTCTTTATAGGACAGATGTCTACCATCACGAAGCTTGATTCTAGGTGTTGTAATGGGAAGTCCGTCTGGAGATCCGAGTTTCTTGGGTTGGGGTGGACAAGCTGATTGATAAGCCCATGCCAGAAACCCGATAATGAAGACTAATAGTATGAAAAAAACCCTGAAAAAAATATGGTGTTTGGATTAGTTCTTATGATTCATAATTGACAATTTGACATGATGATTATTTGATTCTAATTGATGAAAACATTGCTGTGATTAAATTGCATTTCAGAAATCAAATTAGAATTAATGCTCGATGGACCCATCTCTTGATTTCAAGTAAAATCAATATTACAGTTCGGATGTTAAAAGGTTCAATTCCGATCGGGAAGTTCATGATTTTACGGTTTTCTAAGCTTCTACCTACAGATGTGATATGTTTTAGGATCTTAATTGAAGGAAATCCAAGTTGACAATATTCATTCATTGGCACACAAACACTTCGATTCGGTAAAATCGCCGACGAATCTATAACGAATGAATCAAATAGTGAAGTCTGTAAGTTTGAAAAAAAAAATGGTGACAAGTATATGAGAATAGAGCACCTGAAGGGAAAGAAGAGGAAGATTCGGATTTTGATTTCCTGGTATGCGACCTTGCTGATGATGCTGAAATCTTCCTCTTGACTTCCCCTGCCATTGTTGTTATTCAATGGCGGAAGAGGAGGAAAAAGAAGAAGATGCTTTGATTAACTTGGAATTTGGAAAGAGTTGTATACAAAGTCTGAGACAAAATGTGGACGATTTTCGTGGGACATAGTTGACTCTCGGACTTTTCTTGGGCCTATATAGCATCAAATGGATCGGTTTTAAACCGATCCCAGACAAAGACCGATACAGTCCTAGTTTAAAATGAGATTGGATCGTAAAACCAATCTCAAAAATTATGGATTGATCCAAGACCAATCTCACAAAATTCACATTTGTTAATCACGTATTACCTATTTTTTTAATTAAATTTTAATGTATCATTTTTTAGTAAATCTTAATATATCATTTTGGTGTTAATCAAACATTTATTAGTGGAAAAACCTGAAATTGAAAACGGATCAAAAACCCCCAAAATTGAACCGAAATAGATCCAAAAAAATATTATCCTGTAAACATCTAGGACATATCTGGAAAAACCTGAACTGTAAGACCATTCCTAAAAATATAGGATCGTTCTGAGAAGGCTCATGGACTGTTAATGTGTAGGTTTATTCTTAGCTAGTATTTTGTTATCTTCATAAAAGAATAAAAAAAACCATGAAAACTTATGGGTTATTTTTTTGAGAAAACTATAAAAAATGGTCCATATGATTTGCAATTGATTGTGGCTAAATTCCAAAAAACTCTTAACTTGCAAAAAATAGTCATTTTGGTTTGGCTGTAGAAGACTAACTTTAATATCCATTTGTTTTAAGACGATAAATAAAAATTACTATTTTCCTTTTTATTTTTAATTTTATTGAATTATTAATTGTTAATTAACATTGTTTCTATTTTAATACCTCCTATATTTCCTGTCATGTCCTCCTACTCATTGTTTTAATTTTGCTACAAGTTTGGTCCTTATATAAAAGTAGATTTGGAATTATGTTTTCTTTGGGGATGATTTGTCTCACGGTCTTGGAATTCAATGTGAATTTAATTATAGGTTGACTTTTTGAACATTTGACATGATTATTGTTCTCTAAGCATATTTTTAAGATGGTTTTAAATTAAGTTGATATTGGTGTTCTTTACTAATGAACTAAGTGATGGAATCCTGTGGTTTATGTGAATTTAGTCATCTAGGTTTTTTTGCTTTAACTTTTTGTGTGACAATCGTCACTTTCTGGTCAGGTCAAAGTCAAAGAAAGTCAACAAGTCAAACTGGTCAACTCAACTAGTACTAATATGATTAGGGATTTCTTTATGGTTACTAATGTATGACTCTAAATCTTAAATGCAAAGTAACACTTGAAAGTTTCAAATGTTCAAAATTCTAAACCTTAATCAGAAGTAAGGAAGTAACAACTTTATAAAACATTATCACGTGCCCTTCGGGGGTGTATAACACTCAAAATGGGATGTAACTAAGCCTACGGTCTTTGAACTACGAAGAAAAGCATTAATAAAGGCTCCCGACAAAGTCTCTCTCAATCTCTCCCATTGTATCTATCTCTCTCCCAAATCTCTCCAAGTATGTGAAATCTCTCCCAAATCTCTCCAAGTATGTGAAATTTCTCCCAAATCTCTCTATGTACCTTCCTCAGTCGAAAACAGCCCAAAACCAAAGGAGAAAACCCAAAAGAACCCTATTGGTTCGGAACCCTCTTGGTCCGGATCCCTCTTAAGAACTGGACAATTTCGCATCTCCCTCAGCTTCGGAACTCCTTCACTCCGGAAAGTGGCTCCGGCATGCCTTGCTTCGGACCATCTCGCATACGGCAGGAGGACTTCGCCCCGGACAAGCCTCGCACCTCGGAAGCCATGGATCCACTCCGGAAGCTGCTTACTCCGCACTCCCCACTCAGGAACCATGAAAGAGCTTCGGAATTTGCACATTGGCTCCGGAATTTGGCATGTTGACTCCGGAACCCTCGCAGGTTCGCTTCCTTCTCCCGGTTTTCGACCGCTTTTGCGTTTTAAGCTCGTTTTTCATTATTTTCGCGTGGGATTTTCACCCGAACTTATATTTTGACATATAAGGCCATATATATTCACAATTTAATCGCATTTTGGGAGAAATCTTAACTTAAGAACAATATCTAGTGGTGAGATATTGTGTTAGAGTGTTGATGTTTTCATGAAGTGTGACTCAAGCTAACGCCCATACCCACATAGGACAACCCTCAGTCACTATTCATCCATACCTAGTCAACTATTTGTCCTCTCACACCTCTCCTCCAGCCGGTAATTTGATCAAAAGTTGGAAACCCCCATCTCTCCTTCTACTTTACTCACTCTCTCACCAAGAAGCAAACACTTCTCTCTCATTTCCCTCTCTCAGAACTTGAGACTCCAAGGCTGCCTTTGAGCTTTTCACCCTCATTCAGTAAGTATTCCCATCCTACATTGAACATTATTCACTCCTTCACTTAGATTATGAGTCTCTCATAACAAATAACACTATAATTATTCTTAGATCTTCAACTCTCCAAGCTCCTACCAAGTGTTCTTGACTTGGAAACCCTTTCTCTTCAGCATACATCTAAGGAAATCACTCAAGGTGAGTTCATACCCCTATATTTTCATATTTTCTTCAATTTTTAGGGGGGGGGGGGGGGGGGGGGGGGGAATACAAGTTAAATCACCTTAACACAACTCAAACTCGTACTTCAGCTTTTCACAAAAAAGTTGAGTCCTATTCACGGACTGTTTTGACCATCTTAAACTTAATATCTTTCAAAACTGTTTTATATGCAAGTAGTTCAAGTTTATACCTTTCTAATGAGTACTTGCACATCTCCATACGATTTTTCTACAATTTATGGTGATTTTTACAAAACTGCCTATCACTTCAGAAACGAATTCGGACCAGTCTGTGAATATGAACAATTTCACACAAGTTAGAGACTTCTAAAAATCAAAATAAAAATTATGGATAAACTAGACACATTTACTAAACTCTCAGAGTTTACGGATTCATTTTTTGACTTCGTATGATTTTTCTATGATCATTTTAAAACAGTGCAGAAAGGTTAAAAACTAGTTAACAGTTTTCAACTTACACTTTGTAACATGTTGAGCAAAGTGTTTATCTTTGATGACTCTATCTTTTACATGTGTTTTCTGTTGAGTTACATTAAATAACAAAAATGATTCACTGAATTTTAAGAGTCCTTTATCATTACAAACATACTAGATGAAACATAAAAAGTATAGTTTATGGACTGTACTTTTCAAACATACTACATAAAGAGGGGATTTATTTCCATCACACAAAAAGGTTTTATACTCAAATAACACGTAAACTCGTTAACATAAGTTGTGAGACAATTCTTCAATTGTACTCTTAGAGTACGGGTTAAAAAAATCCTGTAAGTTATAACCAGAATCTCTTGTAAGGAGAGCGTGATAATTGTGTATAGATCTATATTGGAATTGACACCCCACACCTTGCCGCTAGCTACAGCGGGACCTGCAGGTCTACGGGTGACAAAAGTCATAACAAATTCTAACGCCTGAGAAATGTTGTAGCAGGTCATCTAGTTGTAGTATGGTTATAACGACTCACATAGGGAGTTAACAACACTTAAATTTTAGGGGAAAATGCTACTTTAAAAAGGAGGTTTTATCTATCTAAAACTGCATACTCTCAGTCTTGGGATTTAAGACTACATGACTTTGTATAAGGAAAATATTGGATTTTTCTTGGATACACATTACAATTACAAACACGTTATAAGTACAAAATACGCACATACTCTCGGTCTTGGGATTTAAGGCTACATAACATTTTATAAGGAAAATATTGGATTTTTCTTGAGTATTCATTTACATTTACAAACAGAGGTTTTTCCAACATTTCATCCAAAAGCTTATGAACTCATCAACTTAATTGTTGACACTCTTTCAAAACTACTTGTATTCTCAGGAAATCAGTGAAACAGGAAATCAACAGCTTTTGAGGATGGAACGTTAAATCGTCAAACATTTCATTTTGTCATCATAGTGTAATTGATTGTGAAACATGTAAACTCATACTACGATGTAACTTTTTCAATTATAATTATGAAAGTTGTATTTACTATGAGCACTATTATACTCGTTGTTGTGATACTATCAATGAAGTCATTCCCACCCCCGGATGTTTCCGCCATCCTTGGTTTGGGGGTGTGACATTTTGGTCATTATCATTCATTTTGTAACTTTTACAACTTCTATGGGTTTATCTTAGGTTTGTTGGTATTTTTTTGTAGCCATTGCACATGATGTTCAATGGGTATTTGGTCGGAATCTCGATGGGAAAAATAAGGTCGTCGAAGGAAAGTGGTGGCAGTAGGAAATAAGAGAGAATAAGGAGTGGTGACTAGACGAAAGGAGATAGAGGGTATGGGTGAGTTGATGGGTTGATGAATTAAGGAACGGGGTCCACTTGTAATTTAGTTATAATAATAAACATATAAAAAAATAATTAAAAATCTAAAAGGAGGGTAAATTTATTAAAATCGGTGATAAAATCCACAATCAAACACTATGAGAAGGAATATTATTTTCAAGTTGAAAGATTTTTGGACCTTAACTTGTTTTGGGGATAGCTGTAGAGCCACTTAGTAGGAATTAGATACAGATTTAAAGAGTTAAAAAAAACATATGTGTATGCATGTGTATACACGTATGTGTAGGGTGTGCATGGACATGTGGGCATAGGCGTGAACATGTATGTTTATATGGGTGTAGATGTAGGTGTCTATATATATATATATATATATAATATATATATATATATATATATATATATATATATATATATATATATATATATGGTGTACGTATGTGGTTATGGGTATAGGTGGGGGTATAAATGTTCGTGTTTGTACGGGTGTATGATGTTGTATGTGGGTGGAATGTAGGTGTAGAAGTGGTTGCATGGGGGGTGGATGCAGGGGTGAGGGTAGGTGTTTGGCCTTGGGCTTATGAACATGACATAAGTGTGGAAATGCATGTATGTATATTTATATGAGTATAAGGATTGGGGTGTATGTATGTAATGGTGTGGGGGTATGATGGGCACAATGAATGTGTGGTTGTAGGTACAGGGTGTGAGTAGGGTATGTGTGAAGTTGGATGCATGAAAGAGTTTGATAAATAATTGTTAAAATAAAAAGATAACTGGAGGAAATTTTTATATTTTTATTAAATTATAAGTAATTGAATAGAAAATATTATTTATTAGTAAAAAAAAATACCAATTCATTCAAATTCATATTTTAATAGAATTTAAAATTTTCCAATTTATTTGATTTTTTACTAAACACAATTGTTTTTATCATGAATTTACATTTCAACCCCTCTAAATACTTTGAAATTCAATTCGTGAACCAAACACGTTCTTACTTTCTTGCTATCGGGACTCCGCTTCCAGACTTCCAGTAGTCGATTTCAGAACTCCTTTCTTCATTCCACAGCGTCAGACTCACAAGGGTATGTGTCTTTCTTTCAGTACTTTTTACGCCCTAAATCCTAATCTGATAATGATAATTGTGATTTCAATTTTCACCTTCCCATCGACGCTGATTCACGATTTCAATTTTCATCCACGCCTCCATCACTGTCAGTGGACTACGATTGCAGCCATCTCCCGGTCTCGTTTTTTTTTTTGTAACCACGGCTGCACACAGTACAACACATATTCTTGTTTAGGTAACTAGATGGCTGTTTATGTGAATTGCAGCCTGATTGTGAATCTGAAACTCATATTTTGAAACTGAAGTACAGCTCTTATATGTTAATTGCTAAAACTCAGATTTTGGTTAAATCATGCCAGAAGTTCACAATTGTAGATGTCGGTCTTCCTAGTAACTGTAACCTAACTACATTTGAAGGGACTAGATAGTTAACCATCAACTGATAAATTTCCAATAGTTTTACATGTTGTTTTGAATTTGATTTGCCTACATACAGGTTTTAGTTACATAAAAAGGGTCAGGGAGGATGAATTTTGCAACCTCATTGTGTAGGAGATTAACTGTTAGCAACTTGGTTACTAGAATCCCTGTTTACACCTCTGCAAGTGGTATAAACTCTTACATAAAATCCTTTCTATTTCCATTTATCTTGTGGTAACATAACATTTATTTGAAACTGAATCATACATAGATGTATCTGGAGATGGATTAAGCATGATATTCAGACGCTGGGCCACCAAAAAAACAGCAGGCTCCACAAAAAACGGACGCGACTCAAAACCCAAGATGCTTGGTGTCAAGAAGTTTGGTGGTGAGGTTAGTCTCTAAATTTGTATTAAATTTTATTTATCTTTTCTATTTTGTTAATATTTGGGAAATTTATACAGAGAGTGATACCTGGGAATATCATTGTAAGACAAAGAGAAACTCGGTTTCACCCAGGTGATTATGTTGGAATGGGAAAAGATCATACGCTTTATGCTTTGAAAGAAGGGTGTGTCAGATTTGAACGACATAAGCTGAGTGGACGTAAGTGGGTGAATGTTGAACCCAAACAAGGCCATGTACTACACCCACTTTACGTGAAAACTGGTACCACATCTTAAGGTCTCTCTTTAAATCATGTTAAGTTAGTTAAGGCGTAAAAGATTTTCCTTTGTTTTTGGAATTTTTGTTGAATAATTTATTGGGAAGTTGTCAATTACTTCAACTTGGCAAGTGTAATGGAATTGAAGGCTACTGTTAAAAGTTGTGCTTTGTGGCACATGATATCTTGGAAAATAGAGCATAAAATGTAAAATTAAAAGAGCATTTGTTATATGTCTAATTTTTATCATGTATTTATGTATAATATAAATAAAACCTATAAATGAAAATATAAAACAAATGAAAGTAATTTAACTTGTATATTTGAATGATTTTTTTGGCAATTTCATTAAGAAAATCATATATTGATTTCAACAAATGAACTCCACAAACTCAATTTTAATGTTTATTTTATATTATGTTTTTAGGATGCATGGATTTAAATATTAAACAACTTTTTGTAAATACTATTTTGAATTCCGACTATGTTTGCAACCTCCTATCCAAATTTCTGGCTGCATCTTTATGTTTTCGCCTTTTCAACATTTTTGGAAAGGAGTATCATTTTGGGAAATTGTCATAAAAGCCCTTAAGTTTTCCAAAAAGTGACGGTTTTACCCTTGGATGAGTTTTGGGGGCATTAAAGCCGGATACTTTCATTAAACCTATCAAATATCTCATTTAACAAGTTGGACCCTTTGTAGCCGGTTACCATGTGCTGATTTGACACTTAATTGACATGTCAAACAACGTGGGCCCCAACCCTCTCCCCACATAACCCTTCCCCACCCCCCTGTTTCTTGCATCCTCTCGCACCACAATATCCCACGCAAAATATTCTCGCACGCAAAATGCCAACATCTTCTGCAAAATCAAGCTCGAATTCACATTCACGATTCAAGAAGAAGATCGAAGTGAAGTGTTGGTGTGAAGATTTATGCCCAATGTTTGTTTCACGCACACCAGAAAATCCAGGCAAGAAATTTTGGGGGTGCCCTAATTATAAGGTAAAAATCATTTTCCCTTTTCTTTAGCAGGATTGTAGTAAGGGTATTATGCACTGACCTCATCATCACCCTGGTTTTCCTCACCATCATCAACATCTCCACCACCATGACCTTCTTCATCACCATCACCTTCAGGCCCATCACCATCATCAACATCTCCACCACCAGGACCTTCTTCATCACCATCACCAGCACCTTCATATCCAGCACCATGATCAGGTCCAACATCCAGACCAACATCATCATCCAGACCACCATCACCAGCAACTTCATCTCCAGCACCTTCAGCTCCACCATCCAGACCAACATCATCATCAGAATGATGACCGTCAATGAAATCATTTACATCCTAGTGTAAAAAGATATAATTAGGTCACAAGAATCACCAGAAAAATTGTTAATTAATAAAAGATAATAGGTCTTACCAGTTCAACTGGTGGGGAATCATCCAATTCCACTTGTACCCCTGGCATAGCTTCTATTTCTGCCATGCTATAACCAGCTTCTAGCATACTAGCAATTTCTTCAGGTCCTAAATGTATCTTCTTTGGGTGAATATCATCCTCTTTTCCCTCAGTAAACTCAATAAACTGATTATCTTCAATTTCATCATTTATTGATTTAAGCTTCCTACCAATACTGGACCCTACTTGCCCAAAAGTGTCACTACCTTCCATCACACTTGCTTGACTACTTTCTCCTTCTTGCATCATATGACCATCTTGAATATGAATTACTGGAACTTCCTGCACAACTGGAACTTGTTGAACCACACTTTGACCCACATTATCACCCTCATCAACAACTGGAACTTGTTGAACCACACTCTCTTGAGTACCTATAGTTGCAGAACCAATCCTCCCACCACCTCTCCTTGTGCACAACTTCTTCCTTGGTACATCAATACTATTTCTCCTAAATCTTTTAGAACCTGTCTGTTGCTGATGTTTTCTGGGACTCATCCTCAATGTGTTATGTTTTCTTGGACTCCTCCTCACTGTGTTAGAGCATGAAGGTTGACTTGGGACATTTGGTTGACCAGGGCTTGTAGACACATGGGGGATGAGATGTTTTCTTGGCCTTCCTGTCTTCTTTGGTGGGGGAGGTACATATTGTTTTCTCTCATTCTTACATGCCCTCTTGTTATGACCATATTCCAAACAATTACCACATCTGGTAGTTCTTGCAACCTTCACTTTTGTTGTTGAAAACTTGCTCTCCTTCTCACTGGCATGCCTCTTTCTTTTGGTAGCAGGCCTACCAGGCATCCTCCTAGACATTGGAGGCAATGGCTTAATGTATTCAGTTTGGGCCCAAAGATTGCTGCCATTAACAGGTTCAATGTTTGTTGAGTAACATTGCCTAAATTTCTCTTTAGAGAAGTATGCATTGATGTATGCATCTGGTGTTTGATGGATAAAATTAATTGCTGCATTTGCATGCACACAAGGGATGCCAGCCAAATCCCACAGCCTACATGAACATGTCATATCATCTAAGTCCACCCTATAACTGTCACACCCTCTTCTGGCCTCAAACACATGCCCTTGACTATGAATTATTCCCCAGAACCTACAATCAAGTATCTAGTTAGTAACAATAATTAATGATTAAGATAAGTTTTAGAAAGCATAAAATAGTACCTCAAACTTTTCCCAAATCTATTCATTTTTTTCAAAATTTTTGGACAAACATTTGAATTCCACTTTTCACTTTTCACATTCATGTAAGCAAACCTGTCCATGATATAAATCCGTATCTCTTCAAGCATAGTGATCAAAGGTTTTTTCCTAGCATCCAATATTATTGAGTTGAAGCACTCTGAGATCCCATTCTCAACTGCTTCACATGCATAGCCTGTTCCAAAATAGGCTCTACACCATGTTTCTGGTTGCTTTGACATCAAGTATTCATATGCAGAAGGGCTCAATTTCTTGATGCTTTCCATATGCCTCTTGAAGTCACCTTCTGTGCAACTCATAGAGGCAGCCCAAAACAACTTCTTATACTCCACACCTATGAAAGCCTTTCTAAAGTTGGCATAAATGTGCCTAGCACAATTCCTGTGTTCAACATGAGGCAGTATATCTTTCACAGATTCAAGCAGACCCTACCAGACAACCATTTAATTAGTTTAATAGAGGACAAATATGTAATAAGATAATTATGCAATTAAGTAGAGGACAAGTATGTTAAATTTTACCTTGTGTTGATCTGATATCACTACCAAACCTCTTCCACTATCAAGATCTAAATCATCCCTTAGAAGCTCAAGGAACCATGTCCAGTTAGCCTTATTCTCAACATCCACAACAACCCAAGCAATTGGGTAGACCTGATTATTGGCATCTCTACCTATGGCTGTCAACAACTCACCCTTTACTGCTCCCTTCAGAAAGCACCCATCCAAACCAATAACTCTTCTACACCCTCTTTTCCAGCCTTCACATATAGCTTTGAAACCAATATAAAACCTATGAAAATAGTTTATCCCATCTGGATTGACAGTAACACACACCTTACATGTAGAACCTGGATTGGATCTTAACAACTCTTGTGCATAATCCCATATTCTGGCATAATGTTCGGTCAATTTACCTTCAATTAGCTCTTTGGCCCATTTCTTTGCCCTACGACATTGGCCTATAGACACAACACACCTAAACCTTTGTCTGATGTCAGTAATCATCTCTTTAAGCTTCACCTTAGGTTTATTTGCAATTTCAGTTATGTAGTGTCTACCTATCTATTCAGGAGTAACCATACAGCCAAGTTTGAACTTCCTACCACAAACATGAGTAGCTTCTAAAGTCTTGATTTGAATAGATCTTTCATTGAACATCCATGAGGCATATAGTCTAAAAGGGCAACAATTATCCTCATTTCTTTTCCTACATCTTACAACTATTCTTGTACTGTCACACTTCTCAAAGTAGAGTTGATACCCATTGTGGACTGCGTAGTTTTGGATACAAAACTTCAGTTGTGTAACATTCTCAAAAATGTCACCAAGTTTTGGTTCCATTTTGTCCCATCTTGTTTTTGGATCATGTAATCTGTACTTGTTTATCACCTGTTCTTGCTCTTCTTCATCTTCATCACTTTGCAAGTCACCACGATGATACACTTGTGCTCTTACATCATTAGTCAAACTAGAGTTTCTAATATTTTCATCACTTAGTAACACATTAAGAAATGCATCCTTACACTTGTCCAGTGGAGTAATGAACTCTTCGTCTGGTTCATGATCCATGTAGATGCCATGAAGCTCAAAATCCATCTCATTAAGACCAGAGAAAGGCTCGCGTAAACCAAAAAATGAGTCTGTGTTACCTTCGTGTTCTGAATCCCAATCCATCATAAACAACCTGAAAAAAACACAAACACATGTTGTCGTTATTCCTTAACCTTTGAAGAACAAAGAACTGTAATAACACAATCTTCAAAGAAATTACACATACCCTGTGAAATCGACTCTCTAATAACCTAATCTTCTTCAAAAACCATAAGCCCTAATTTTGAGATGAATGATATCGACTTTCTGAAGGATTCTGAGAAAGTGTACGTATATGTGCAAAAGGGTGAGATTAGTTGGTGGGTAAACGGACGTAACGGAGTAACGTCCGTTTTGACATGTCAATTAAGTGCCAAATCAGCACATGTAACCCGGCTACAAAGGGTCCAACTTGTTAAATGAGATATTTGATAGGTTTAATGAAAGTATCCGGCTTTATGCCCCCCCAAAACTCATCCAAGGGTAAAACCGTCACTTTTTGGAAAACTTAAGGGCTTTTATGACAATTTCCCTATCATTTTCTCTTTTTTCTTTGTTTCTTCCAACATTGATAAGAAGTTATTGAGAAGAGTTAGTTTCGATTGGGTATCCTCATTGTCCTTCCAACAAGCTTTTCCACATGTGGTGCACGGTTATTGAGAGTGTTCACCATTTTGAAGAAATCCATGTGTTAGCTCTTAAATAATAGTAAAACATTGAAAACTAAAAGAAGGGAGAATCCTACATTGTATCCTAGGCACATAATAGGGCCACATCATCGCCTTTCTACCCGTCTTTACTCACTATGGTTTAAGACTAACACATTCTTCTCGAGTTCAACTTAACGAGGGAAAATAAGAGAAATGGATATAAGTGAGAATAAAGTAAAATAAATTAGTGTATCTGAATTCATTAAAGGAAAGAAATGAAAAAAAAGGAAATG